GTCTCTCTGACTACCCTGACCTCTGCTGGCCACAACCTCCAGAAGGAACAGAGTAGAGCGTAGGCCCAGCAAACTTGGAGCCTGAGTTCACGTTCAGCTTCTACCACTACCACTCCCTTGTTGGTGATTCTGAACAAGTAAGAATTGCTTTTCTGGTTTTGTTTTCTGCTCTTCAAAATTAGAGGAACAATGACTACCTGAAAAGGCCATGTGGGAGTCAAGAAAGACCATATAGATGCGGAACTTTAGGGCTGAGGGGATAGCTCAGTTGGGCAACTGCTTGCCTTGAGACCATGGGGACCTCCTGAGTTCAATCCCTGAAGACACAGGAAGGGGTAAAGACAGGAGGACCCTTGGAGCTTACTGGCCTGATTGCATAACTGACAAGCTCCAAGTCAGTGACAGACTGCTTAAATAAACAAGGTGAACAGCACCTAAGGGAGGGCCTCTGAAGTTGCCTATGGCCTCCATTAACACACGCACTTGTGCAGACGCACACCTAGGTGCATGAGTGTGAACACACACATGATTCTGAGAGCCATCTAGAATGGGGCAAAAACGAGGAAACATTCGTTCTTATTTTCCTTCTTCTCTAGACCAGCCATCATCAAGTCCCTGATAGGCTTGCAGGCTTCCCTGTGCCTAATAACCACAGAGTGGCAATAGTGATTCTCGGCAGTCGGATTCGGTGTCGTCAAGCATGAGGTTCTGGGCAGTATTTACATCACCACCACCAATGGCCCTCGGCTCCATCCTTATTCTCCCTATCTCCATCCGTGAAATCTATCAGAAAACACAAGTCAAACCACTCCCTCCTGTTTGAACTGTCCTGAATCCTTCCAGCCTGGGATAACATGTCCCAACAGTGATGTGCACTCCCTGAGCCCTGGCCACACGTAGAGTTCCCCCACAGGTTTATTTAGCAGTTATATCCTGAACCTGAATTATCCGTTTACAAAGCTTATCTACTGCCTGTGAACGCTTGTGGGCTAGTGGGCAAGAGCACTGTACAAATACGTCACCACAGCGCTATGCGACAAGACTTCTGTAACTGAGGTATTCAGAAGAGTGAGGGTGAAATCTTCCCAGGATTGCCTCGCAGACGCATGAACAGAACGAAGAAAACAGTCATAGACATAACAGTATGAATGGGGCAAAGCCCAGGGAGTTTCAGCCTTACATAAGGAATTTGAGGCAATTAAGGATGCAGAGCGTGGGAGAGAGTCTTGCCCAGGAAAGAGTCCACTGATTGGTCAATCTATAACAAATGCCCAGCTCTGAAAACACAAATACCAGTAAGAATGCACAGACTGAGAAGGTTGTAGTTACATGTTTAGGAATATATATATATATATGTATATTCAGATACATACATGTATGTAGCAACAATTAATAAAAAGAGCCTATGAATGTAAGAAGAGCAAGGGGGACATATGGGAGGCTTTGGAGGGATGGAAAGAGAGGGATGCATGATATAATTATAATCTAAAATAAATGGAACAAATAATTTTTTATTTTTATTAAGCAATATTATTTCTTTGCTCCTGTCTTTTTCTCCCCCCTCACCTTTTACCCTCTCCCATGATCCCCATGATCTTAATTTACTCAGGAGATCTTGTTTTTTTCTACTTCCCATGTAGATTAGATCCATGTATGTCTCTCTTTGGGTCCTCATCGTTGTCTAGGTTTTTTGGGATTGTGTATTACAGGCTGGTTTTCTTTGCTTTATGTCTAAAAGTCACTTATGAGTGAGTACATATTATATTTATCTTTCTGGGTCTAGGTTACCTCACTCAAAATGATGTTTTCTAGATTCATCTATTTGCCTGCAAATTTCAAGATGTCATTATTTTTTTCTGCTGTGTAAATGTACCACATTTTCCTTATCCATTCTTTGGTCAAGGGGCATTTAAGTTGTTTCCAGGTTCTGGCTATGACAAATAATGCTGCTATGAACATAGTTGAGCACATGTCCTTGTGGCATAATTGAGCATCCTTTAGGTATATACCCAAAAATGGTATTGCTGGATCTTGAAGTAGGTTGTTTCCTAATTTTCTGAGAAATCACCATACTGATACCCAAAGCAGCTGTACCAGTTTGCACTCCTACCAGCAATAGAGGATGGTTCACTTTACCCCACATCCTCTCCAGCATAAGTTGTCATCAGTGTTTTTGATCTTGGTCATTCTTACAGGTGTAAGATGGAATCTCAGAGTTGTTTTGATTTGCATTTCTCAAATGGCTAAGGATGTTGAGCATTTCCTTAAGTGTCTTTCAGTCATTTTAAATTTATCTGTTGAGAGTTTTCTGTTTGGGTCTTTACCCTATTTTTTATTAAATTATTTGTTCGAACAAATAATTTTTAAATTAAGAAAAATGACTTTTCCCAATCAAGAAGCAACAGGGCAATCATCTGCTCACACACACACACACACACACTCACACACACGGAGAACTTTCTACAGTACACTCTAAGGGAAAAGTTATTTTAAAACGAGGATGCTAGAGGACCATGTAGGGATGGTGGGGAAAATGGAAAATAAAACGATCCAAGGAAGGGCAGAGTCACAAAGCCCTGGATATTATGCAAAGCATCCTTCACACTTCAGAGTTCACAGAATCCTGGCCCCACCCCTTTTACAGTCCCACATGGTGGGAAGAATGGAGTCTGGAGAAATGATCTGGATCAGTTCCCCAATCATTGAATTTCCTCTCAAACTCTCGCTCTTGAAGCATTAATCTCCTGCCTCTGTGAGTGTGGTATATTTCTACATGGCACTGACATGGGCTTAACACTGAGATGAATGTGTCTTTCCCTTCCCTCGGGTTACTGCCCCAGCTTAACAGGCACCGCCACCTCTTCCCACTGACAGATGCCATCAACAGCAATGACCTGAGTTCTGTGGTCCACCATCTTTATTCTCAAGATCCAGAATCACTAAGGAAATCCTCTGGACACGTCTGCGCTGGGGTGGGGGTGGGGTGTTCAAAGTGGTTTAGGTGAAAACGGACTCTTCACTGAGACTTTTTCCTTTGTCCAACTTTGTAAGAAAGGACAGGACTCTGCTCCAAAATCTATCCTAAACCTGTTATTCCCTGAGAACTTCCCTGTTGATACTTTACCAAAATGCCAGTATGCTCCTCCCAGATGATCAGAGAAATGTTCAACTTGTTTCCCATCTCTCCCTTCCCTTGAGCTGCCACCAAGATCTTCTGAAAACAAAACCAAAGCTCAACAACTTCTTTGCCTTGTGCCTTCAAAGATGAACTAAGTCTTGCCCCACCCCCAGAAGCCCTACCCAGTCAACTGCCTTCGTGACCACCCAAGCCCACTGCTCCATCTAGGCGCCTTGATGTTCACACTCTGGGAACACACCCCATGCCTTCTCACAAAAGACACTCTTGGCCGGTTATACACAGCCCTCCTGCCTCCTTTAGGGCCTCATTCGTGTGTCTGCTCTCAAGGAGGCTTAGTCTCTTCCTCTTTAATTAACTTTTTCAGTGTCCAAATCATCAGTGAGTAAGGACACTTCCTCACACGTGTGTCCTCTTGGTTTCTTCACGCTTGCTCTTGTGTTACCCTCCCCATTCCTACTCCCCCACCCCCTTCTTGGCTTCCTTCCTTCCTTCTTTCTAACCATATTATTAAATTAAGATCATTCCCGAGCTGTAATTCAGCTAATAGAATTATTGGTTTGCCATCGTCCTGACCAAACAGAGGAGGGCCCTGTCAACTTCAGTCCTCCTTTTATGGTTTCTACTACCTATAGTCAACCATGGTCCAAAAGTACTGAACAGAGAATTCCAGAAATGAACAGTCCTACATCTTCAGAGAAATGTGATCTTGTTCTTGCCCCATCGTTGCTGCCGCCTGCTTCTGCTGTAGGAGCCATGCTCTCCCACTGCGAAGCAGTCAGTAGGCATCTTGTCTATCAGGTCACAGCATCAGAATGTTATCACAATAACATCGGCCGCACTTTATTTAAGAGAGCTTTCGAGATGCACCAGCAGCTATGCTGGCAATTCTAGTAGAGGGCAGTGATTGGAGTTTCAGGCATCGCAAGGGTATGCAAACATACTCCCCGTGACTAGAGCGGACTGCATGCATGTGCTTTGTGTGTATGGAGGGGGTGGGTTCTAGGCTTTGCTGTTTGGTTAATGAGTGCATTGACTCCCTTCTCTACAATCTGATCACCATTTGCCTGTGAATCCATTGAGAATACAGAAAAGAAGAAATACACATAGCAACCAAAATAGATGTCTGTGTCACCAAAGAGGATTTAACAGATGGCAAGTAAACCCATAAAAAGATATTCAACAGCGTTAGTCATTAGGGAAATGGAAATCAAAACCATTGTGAGTTACTATTTCACATCTATCAGAATGGCTAAAGCATGCTGGGTTTGGGGGTGCACTTTACTCCCAGCACTCAGGAATCAGAGGCAGATGGATCTCTGTGAGTTCAAGGCCAGACTGGTCTACAGAGTAAGTTCCAGGATAGCCAGGACCGTGTAGAGAGATAATTGTCTCAAAACAAACAAACAAGGAGAGCTAAAGTGAGCTCGGGAGATGCTCCAGAGGGTAAAGTGTGCACCCTAGGCATGAGAAGAAAGTTTAAATTCCTGGAACTCACATCAAGTCAGGTGATGCACATCTGTAATCCCAGAAATCCTACAGGGAAACAGGAGGCAGAGACAGGAGGATCCCCAGATGTTCTCAGGCTCGCTAAGCTGAGAGCAAACATAGTAGCAAACAGGTTATTCCTATCTGCAACAAAGTGGAAAGCAAGAACTGACATCCAAGCTTGTCATCTGACCTATGCCTATACAATGCGCATCACACATACTGTGACACATGAGTGTACACAGACATTATACACATCATACCATGTACACAAACACCCACACTGTGACATGTTTATATACACACATTATACTCACACACACACACACACACACACACACACACATACAAGTAGGATAGAAACAAGTAATAATACCAAACTCTGGGAAGGCTGCTGGATCTCTGGCAGGCTGCTGCTGGGGACAAAGTGGCACAACATCTCTGAAGCAACTTCAGCATCACCACACAGCTCAGCAAAGTCGCTCTTGGTCACTGTTCAAAGAAATAAAAGTGAGTTTGTACAAAGACCTCCACATGAGCATTCATGACAGCTTTATCTGTAATAACTTGACATAGCTTAAATGGCCTTCAGTGGGTAAGGTTAAACAAACCAGAACATCTGTTCCATGGTACAGTGCTCTGTCACCAAAAGAAATGTCAAGTTTCAATAGCAAAGATTTGGGCCAGCCTCGAAGGTTCATTTCTTAGTAGGTCTATTAAGTTAAGCATGAGTAAACAGGGGTCATAAAAACCACCCTTTGCTGGAATTCACCTCAATGGATGCTAACTATGAGTTCAGTATGTAAGTACTACCATGTTAGGAGCAACAACCATAGAGAAGGCTTAGCGCTGCCCTGCCAGCTTGGGTGCTGGTGCAATGAAGTAACAGAAAGAGCCAAGCCAATCCAGTATGAAGCCCTCACTGTCAAGAGAAGATGGGATAAGTACTGAAGACAGCATTGTACCCAGCTGAGGGAAGGGGGTGCAAGAAAGGGTTCTACGTACCACTGAGGAATGAAGGAAGCATGCGTATGAAGAGAAAAACGGAAGCTTCCACAGCAGAGAAGATAGCACAGGTAAGCGCTAGTCTGTAGGGACCAGAGAAATGATGTCTGGACAATGGAGATGCTCTATCGGGAACTCACCAAGGCCAGCTGACCTGGGTCTGAAAAAGCCTGGGTTAAAACCGGTCTCACTGAACATAGCGGACAATGAGGACTACTGAGACATCAAGAACAATGGCAATGGGTCTTTGATCCTACTGCATGTAGTGGCTTTGTGGGAGCCTAGGCAGTTTGGATGCTCACCTTATGAGACCTGGACGGAGGAGGGTTTTCCTCGGACTTCCCACGGGACGGAGAGCCCTGATTGCTCTTTGGGCTGACGAGGGAGGGGGAATGGATTGGGGGAGGGGGAGGGAAAGGGGAGGCGGAGGTGGGGAAGAGACTGAAATATTTAATAAATAAATAAAGAAAGAAAGAAAAAAAAAGAATAAATATCCAATCTCAAGCAAAAAAAAAAAATGATGTCTGGAGAATGTGGGAAGAATGAGGCTGGGTCCTGAGGAGAATGGACTCCAGGGCAAGGGTTTTCCCACATACTGAAAGTGTTCTGGTTGTGATGAAGGTTCAAGGAATCACTGGACAGGAGCAGGCTATCCAGTTTCCTGGGTTTTTTTTCTCTTCTTTGCCCATTGTTTATTGTTTGGTCATCCATTTGTTCTGCAGGGGTACGTGGTGGAGTGCACACACTTGTCACTCTCCCCTTCTACCATGCAGGTTTCAAATAGCAAACTTGAGTCGCCAGCCTCAGCAACAAGCACCTTCACTTGCTGAGCCATCTCACTGAACCCGGGCTCCTGATTTCTGTAGCTGACTTTATATGGCCTCCTCTCCTCTTCCCTAGTGACAGCCCTCCCTACCTCCAAGACCAAGTTCAAACCCCACCTCCTTCTTTAGAAGGTCCCCTCACCCCCTCACTGGAGGGGATTCTCTCCTCCAGACAGCAGGTACAAGGAACCTGTGTGTGTGTGTGTGTGCGTGTGTGTGTGTGTGTGTGTACCAAATGGTAGCATACATACAGTGGACGGTGATGTTTACAGTCGGAAGCCAGTCTGCCTGAGTCGTGATCATTTTCTAGTCACCCCCTGTCTGTGTTCAGTCACCGCATCTGTGAAGCAGAAGTACATGGAAAGGCCTCTCAGGACCAGGCGCACCATTAGTCCTGGAACTCTGGAGTCAGGAGCAGGAAGAGCTTTGTGAGCTTGAAGCCAGCCCAGTCTACCTAGTGAGTTTCAGGACAGCCAAAGCAACATAGCAAGACCTTGCCTCTAAAAACAAATAAACAAGCTGGGTGGTGGTGGCACACACCTTTTATCCCAAGGTAAAGGCAGAGGCAGGCGAATCTCTTTAAGTTCGAGGCCAACCTGGTACACAGAGTAAGTCCCAGGACAACCAAGGCTGTTACATGGAGAAACCCTGAATCGAAAACCAAACAAACAAATACACAGCTGTCTCAGGATGGAATAAGCAATGAATTAAAAAGCAAGTGCTTGGTGAATGTTACTCCTTGTCATTCCGGCTGCCATACCCCTCCCCCACCCGCGGCCAGCACAGGCAAGGCAAACATTGGGACACAGGAACACAGAAGTCCATGTCCTTATCTCTCTGACAGTCACTCCAGTCACTCCTGACTATGACCGGACACATTCTTCACTGACTGCCCTTAACAGATTAGAAATATCCTTATGAGAGTCGGGCAGTGGTGGCACATGCCTTTAATCCCAGCACTCCAGAAGCAAGTGGATCTCTCAGTTTGAGGCCAGCCTAGTCTAAAGAGTGAGTTCCAGGACAGCCAGGGCTACACAGAAAAACCCTGTCTTTAAAAGCAAAAACAAAAACAAATCCTTACATTTCACGGGTAATGTCAGATTATGAGTTAGAATGGGCATCGTCCTGGCTCTGCCTCTTGCTCCCAGCATGACCTAGGGCAGGTACCTTTTTACCTTTCGGAACCTCCATGTTTCCATCTGTCATCTGTAAAATAACAGGGAGTTGCTGTCAGAGCAGGAAGGTTAAGAGGCAGTTGGCAGAGGACTGATGTAAACGTGATTTCCATTTCCTGCTGCTGTGAGCCACAGACCTCCCAGGCCCTCACTTTCACTTCCAGGAGGAACACACTCCTCAGTACAACTCTGGCAGGAGTCCAGCACAGGGAGCAGGTACATTTTAATGCGCCCCACCCACTGACTTGCTGCATTCTGGATCTCCTCCTCCAGGGACTTTCCTGACTTCCCTTCTGTAAAAGAAGGAAAAAGCACATCACATGAGCATACTGTATACAAATATGCTTGGGAAAGCTTTCTCCTTCTTCTTCTTCTCCTTTTTTTTTTTTTTTTTTTCTTAAACCAAACTTGGTTTCTGTTGTAGGCGGCACATTCCCTAGCCGGGCAGGGCGGGCTGCAGCGAGCCATCAGGGGAGGCGGGAGTAAAAAGGGGAGGAGAAGCAGAGCATGAACTCACCCAGTGTGACAGCTGCTCCCTTATTTAATGGGGGGGTCTCTGGTCAGGAGTCAGAAGTGCCTCCAGGAGAGGAGAAGCATGGCTGAGGAGCTGGGGCTGGGCTTCGAGGGAGCAGTCAGAGTGGAAATGCCAGAGGGCAGAGCCAGGCCAGCCGCCAGGAGCAAAGCGTGCTTGGCTCTCATCTGCTGTCTGCTGTCATTTTTCACGGTTGCAGGACTTAGCACCTTCCTGATGGTCAACCAGCCCGGGGCCCCGGGAAGAGACTGTATGCCGCGGGTAAGTACGCTTGCTCCTGCCTAGGGAATCAATGGTCTCTCTCCAGGCAGCTACTCATTCCAGTTTGGGGCCTATGTCAGAACTGTTGGCGGACAGCGTTGCCAGCTTCCCTGTAGAGACTGGGAGGGTGAGAGATGGAAAGGTCCCATCTGGTTCCTAACTCTGGATTTCCAGGGAATTGAGTTGTTTCATCTCATGTTTATACAAGAACAACTCCACAGTCCATTTTTAAGATAATTACAATCATAGTGTACTGATCCTTTGAAAACATTCCTTTTTCTTAAAAACAAAAGGCTCTTAAATTGTTTTACATAATGTACGGTTGTTGAGGTGAAAGAGATAGAAATCACAGGCAAGGAAATAAAGAAAAAGCCTTACTCATAAATCCTCAGAGGTGAAAACTATTAACTATCTAAAGTACATAATTCCTTTCTGTTTTTAATAAAATGGGATTATTCTGAGCTTCCTACATAGCATGAACCTATGTTTTGTTTCTATAATATTGACTCTATGACGTATGGCTGGCTATGTTCCTATATGTGTGATTACTATGACATATGACTGGCTGCACATATGTTCCTATATGTGTGATTACGTTGATGTATGGTTGACTGTACTATGTTCCTATATGTGTGACAGCTCTATGACATATGGCTGGCTGTACTATGTTCCTATATGTGTGATTACTATGATGTATGGCTGGCTGTACATATGTTCCTATATGTGTGACAACTCTATGATGTATGGCTGGCTGAACTATGTTCCTATATGTGTGATTACTTTGATGTATGATTGACTGTACTATGTTCCTATATGTATAGGCTAAAATTTATTTAACCAGTTCCCCTTCTTGGGTTTAGAAATATTCTTCACTGCTCAGCTAAGAACCTAGTGAGCCTAAGGTCTCCCTGGAGAAGCTGTCACCAAAAGGCTGTGGGACTGGAGTTTGGAGAGTGAGGGTGCAGGTGTCCAGGAGGAGCCCAGGAGTGCTGGGAACCCCCAAGAAGGACCTGAAAAGTCAACGACTATTCTTTAGTGGGAAATGTCCCGCATGCTCTATGAAGGCTGATTAAATTTTAGTCCCAAGAATTCAACTATAAAGGAGAAAATGGGCAGCTTAATTGGAAACCTGGTCTCAGTCCTGGACCATTTCCACATCATGGCTAATGTATAACTCCTGCCACTCCATCAGGGTCAGCAAACAGTGCTTGCGGCAGCCATGTGCCACGGCTTATAGATGCAGACACGTACAAGTAGACCAGAAAGGCTGCTTAGGTTAGAAGAGAACTGGAGGGGATGAGAAAATGGGAGGTCAGGCTTTGACCCCAGACACACCACACACACACACACACACACACGACTAAGAGACTTCAGGGAACTCTCCAACCAGAAGGTTACAGCTGTCTTGAACGAAGTATTACTAAGTGGCCTCCAGCAACCCGTGCCTCCCTGGACTCTGAAGGGGTGGCGACATACAATAGGATTCTATTACCAGGATGATGTCTGTAATCCCGATGTTGGCAGAAACCAAAGAACATCACCTAGGCTACCAGTGGATGCTGCAGTCCAGGAAAGGGAATTGGCAGGGGAAGTGACCAGACAGGAAGACCCATCAAGGAGGGCACAAAGTGTTACCACAAATAGCAACAACTCAGAATCCCCTTCTTGCCTCTCCTACTCAGGTGCTCGAGACTTGAACCACACTCGCCTAATCCCTCCCATCCCATCACAAAGAAAACAGTCTCCTGGACAGCAGGGCATGGGTTGGGGGAGGTACACGGGATGCTTGCGGGTGTTGTTTAGCCAGGCTTTAGGACATCTTAGTGCATCAAAATAGAAAAGGGGGTGAGGCTGGGGTGGGTGTGCGGGGTGCTATGGATTTGTAACAGTAACAAATGTACAGTTATGAAGTAGCAACAAAATAATTTTATGGTTGGGGTCACCACAGCATGAGGGACTGTATTAAAGGGTCCCAGCAATAGGAAGGTTGAGAACCAACGTTTTGGAGGAATCTAGAAGGAAGCTAACCCTTGGAAAGGACCTGACTAGAAAATGCAAAAGTTTGGACCAAGAAAAGGGTGGGCAGAGGGAGCAGGAAACATTGGCCATTTTCCTCTTTAGACCTTTGACAGGACTCGAGTGGGAACCAGGGCACAAAGAAGCCAGGTAGGAGCCATGCCAAGAGGCTAGGCTGGCCAGGAAGGAGTCACACTGAGGAGGGCAGAGATGGGAGCAGAAACTAAGTCAAAATATGGCTCTCAGGTCCCTGTGCTTAAACTCCAGTTTGGCCATTTGTGCCCAAGTGAAAAACAGGCTCTTTGCTAAATGTCTTTGAGCTGTTTCTTCTTCAGTCAGAAGGGGGCGTTTCTGTCAGCATGTTAATAAGACAAGTGCAGGGGCGTTTTGCGTGGCCGGAATGTGGCTGAATGGCATGCTCAGGAGCCTGGGATACGTTTACCACTCTATGCCAGGCACCAAACAACCACGAGGGAAACGTGACCTTGGGTCTCAAGGAGCTTAAAGGTTGTTGTGTGAGACTGAAAAGAAAAGAAGCTACTTCTGCCTGCCTGTGCAACAGCCTTTCCCTAGCCTGGCCACAGGGCAGAAGCCTTTGTTTTGCAGATAGGCAGCTGAGGGGGTGGAGACTTCTCCAACATTGGAGGCGGATCCAAGCTTAAAACCAGACAGCCCAAGCCCTGCTCTGCATTCCGGCAGTGCACTAGGTTCTAGATGTCACACCGTGAGTTGAATAAAAGCTTCCGCCGATGCCATGGAGGAAGGTCACAGCTGCTACCCCACGGCAGCCCAGTGAGGATTTTCACAAACCTATGGCACACTCACAATCACCCACCAAGGACTCCTAGCTTGGCAGGAAATTAGGACTGTGTGTGTGTGTGTGTGTGTGTGTGTGTGTGTGTGTGTGAGAGAGAGAGAGAGAGAGAGAGAGAATATGAATGAATCAGAGAAGTGGCCTGGCTCTCTTAAGCTGAGGAAATATAATTGAAAACAAAATTGTCTGCCAACCCAGATATCTCTCTCTCTCTCTCTCTCTCTCTCTCTCTCTCTCTCTCTCTCTCTCTCTGGAAAGGCTGAAGAGAAAGAAATACTTTTATAATTGAATAATCCTTAAACTAAGATGAGATGTGCATGACGGGCAATGGACTTAGAGGTCGCAAAGGAGCAGAGAGATTGCTCTTTGATATGTATGGGCAGCAGATACAGCCCAGCACTCACAGTTCAGTGTAAAGAGTCAAGCGACTCACAGCAGACACAATAGCAGATGCTTTGTTCCTGGAAGAGCTCACTTGCAGGTGTGCATTTATAAATGCATGGAGTAGCCCAGGAAAGGCTGAAAAGTAGAACTTCTTGCTGACGTGAAAGGGAGGCAGGTGGCTGAGCCAGCGAAGGAGGGAAATGCTTTTAAACATTCCTTGAAGAAAGCGTGATGTGTTCCCTATTTTAAAAAAAAAAAAAAATAGAGGCCGTGCAGTGTTTTAGGATCTTCAGATTTATGGGAGGCTAGGCTAATTTGCATTTTGGAAAGGCCATGAGTCACGGCGATCTCAAAGCTAGTCCAGGTTCTAGACTGGCCACTAGCTAGTTTGTCATCTCCCTTCCTGTGGCCTCTGCTTGCATTTGTATAAAATGTGGATAATTAGAAACAGGGTATGTCTGGCATTGTGGAAACTGGCCAACAGCAAGCTTACATCATCATGCTGAGCAGGGAAGTTCCCTCACTGGGAGATTACTTCACAGAGTACAACTTCCCTACCTGCTGTGGAATCTGCCCTTGCAGGACAAAGAGCAGGTTTGGGTGCTGTGGAGCTCTTCTTGGCTTTAAGAATGTCTCAGTGCTCCCTTCTGCACTACAGTCTTGCCCATCACCACAACCTCTCCCCTCAAACCGCTGTGTCAGTGATTTGACCATAGTTGGGTATCCTCCGGGGCCCTGAATGGTTCCACGGCTCCAGAACAGGTGCACTGGCTCTGTGTGTCCTCATCCTCCCCCAGCCCCAGCAGAGAAGATGCTGGAGCCTCTTGGCCCCACGCCAGGCATAGATAGACTGGTAGCAGATTCTGTGCTTTGAATCGCCTGGACAGTGTAGCAGGGCTTCCTGCTCAGCCTGTCACCTTCTGTGCTGTCCTGCCAGACTCTCCTCACATTCTTGCCAGTCCCTTTTAATCTCATTTCTCCGCCTTTCTGATAACTCCTGCAAGCTTCCACTATTTTCTATACCTCACACAGCAGAAATGTCTGGAACACATTAAATGATCAATAAATGCTAGCTCTATTTCCTCCTGGAAAGGTACCAACTGTGCCTGGCAAAGACATTCACTTGGTGTTTTCTGGATGAAAAGGAAGATAAAATACTTGGGCAATTTATCAGCCTTCCGTGATCCTCAGACTCTCAGTCCGCTTTCTTCCTCACACTGTCGTGGGAGTTCTGCAAGACTCCAAGACATCCAGAAAGCTATAAGCAAAGGCGGGATGCTCCCCAGAGGGCTTCCTTACCCACTCTGCCTTGGACAGGACTCTTATCTTCCCAAGGTTTTTCTTGTTTTGAACGTAGGCAATACCCATAATCCCCAGCATTGTCTATAAGACCCAAACAGATGAGATGGAAGAGGTGTGTCCAAGTCTGTCCCATAATGGAGTCACCCCTGCTGTGAGCAGCCGCCAGGGATGACAGTGGTACCTCCAAAGGCAGAACAAGACCAAGCTGCAGGTCACCTCACAGGCCACACTGTCACTCCCTCAAGCAAGCCTGCACCACAGTGAGTACCATACTAGCTTGGCAAACTCCTGTGCCCTTACCCAGCCCGATAGTGTATGCCACCTTGCACAGCGTAAAGGTGTGTCCCAGCCTGAGCCTCATGCCACACAACAAATGAACAACAGCAAGCTGAGGGTTTGAAGTGGACAGTTCCTCTTCTTCACACATTGGCATTATCAAAAGGCAGAGTTCATAGCAAACTATTGATCTACCAAGCCTACAGAATGTCTGTTTGGGGAAAGGAGTAACGCCACTCCTAAACTTCTACAGGATCTTAAATCCACTGCTTCTCATAAAACATAGCCAATGGCAGTTCCTGTTTATAGACAAAGCAATAAAAGCCTAAAGAAGAAGGCACAGACAGCACAGTATTGCTTGGGCCCAAAGAAAGAAGGAAAAGAAATGAATTGATAGCAATTTTAAGTGCAGCCTCCCTGAGCCACAAGGATAGGCCTGCCAGCAAAGAATCTCTAGGTCAGCTGCTGTGCCAGGATTGGGAACGAAGAAATTACGAAGTTGGGATTTCCAAATTTACTCTGCTACAAATGCCTGACTCTTGGCAAGCCTGATCCAGGCCAGGAAAGCAGATGACGCAATGAAATGAGATCAAGTAAGCCGTTCCCAGAGGGATTGATGCTTGTGAAGATACACAGAGAGAGGAAGCCTCACATGCCCTGATTTCTCCTAGATTTGCTGTGGGACGTGTCGCAGGTCATAAAGCATGAATATCTTTTCAATCGCAGCTATTACGACAGAAAGAAATGGACATAACTTCCTGTTTGTGAACGGGATAGACAAGAGCAGGTGACTGCAGCGGGTGGGAGGGAGGCTAAGTGCATCACTACTTTAAAAACACTCACAGGAATTTTTCTGGGGAAATGCCAGGAAATCTAAAGACCAACCCACCGCTAAGCTGTTTGCTGGTATTCCCTGTCAATGCTTAGAAGGACCCTGGTGTACCCCAGGAAGAATTTGATCCAGTGGTTCATATCCCAGGCCCCCTCCCTACCTTTGACTTTGTGAGGCTCTAAACCCCAGTGATAAACTCAACTTGCTCAGACTATTAAAAGGCTTACACGCCAAGGCCCAGTGCAGAGGCCAGCAAGAAGGAACACTTAGTTAATTGGCATGTCCTCCTTCCCACAGCCTTTCTTCTGCCTAGCTTAAAAAAGTAGATTCAGTCAAGAAATGTGTGCAGCCAAGGACACAGTCAGTCTGAGCCAGTAGTCACTACTAGTCAACATACCAAAAAGAAAAAAATCAATGAAAGAAGGAAAATCATAAAATAGTGATAATGTTGCAACCTGTAATAATTAAAGGTCGGGCGATGAGTGGGGAAATTACTAATAATATTTCAAGGGTTAAAGCAAGCTGCAGGTCCTGGACACACCACTGTTCCACTAAGATGTATGTTCGTGAGCGTGCACATTTGCTTTCTTTGTTTTTTTTTTTTTTCTTGTTGTTGTTTTTTGTTTTTTTTTTTTTTCTGACTCTGGTTTCTGGCCAACCCTTACAACTTTCAACAAACATTTCCAGAGCCCCAGCCGTGTTCCACACAGACTTTAGGGGCCCTTTAGAGACTGTAGTACCAACAGGCCATGACTACTCAGCTCTAAGTGGTTCAAATGTTGTTGGTGTTGTTGCTACATTTATTTTGTTATGTGTACAAGTGTTTTGCCTGTATGTGTGCATGTATACCACACACATATCTGGTGTTCAAGAAGGTGAAAGACACTACCAGATCCCCTGAGAGTGTGGCTGCAGCTGGCTGTGAGCCACCGCATGGATGCGGATGCAGGAATTGAGCCTGGGTCATGTGCAAGAACAGCACTTGCGTTTACGTGCTGAGCATCTTCCCAGAATAAAAGGCTTTAATCTTACCAAAATTATCTCTCTCCCAGATTTCTGGGTTGAAACACTGGCTAGTGTCACTGAATCTAAACTGTGCTCCATCGTTTGCTCCTCTTTGCCTCTGTCCTCCTAAGGTCTGGAAATCTGCTAATTTTGTAGATTACATAATCCAGTAAAAACACAGGCACTTCCCAGGCTACTGGGCCAGAGTGGTTAAGAGCAGACCAGCCCTTCTGCCTAGCAAATTCTCCTAGAAGGAAAAGCATTGTCACCAGAAATAAAATTGAATCCTGATTCTCAGTCCTTGGTTTGAGAAGTTATGCTAAAGGGGAATGCCCAGGGTCCATTTGAATTTGGAGAGTAATGAAGCAGCCTTTTGGACTTGTCATCTTCTAAGTACCCCCAAAGTCACCCAGAAGAGACAGAAGAAACCAGGCTGAGAGGATAAGAAAGATGTCCTACTGTCCTGGTGTTGCCAGGAGCTATCTGGAAAGCAGGCATTAGGGCAACTTGGCTCGTGAACCTTTATTTCCCCTCCACAGCAGTAAAAGAAAGGAAGATAGAGTCCCCGCTCCTGTTTTGCCTGCAGATTTTGGGATGGTGCGGTCTTCAACACCTTCCAGCAGGGCACAGCTCAGACTCCACATGTAGATAGTGGCAGTCTGGACCACTAAAACCCCATGCATCTCAACCATATATGGAAATAAGATTTGTGTTCAAGGAATAAAAACCCAACAGAGCCACCAGGAATCTGTGTGCATATCCCAGATATCTGCCCACAGTCCTGGGACTCTTAATCAAAAAGGAATGCTCTAAACCTGCCCTGAGAGTCTGTTCACACAGCATAAGCAGGATGGATGAAACAAGAGGAATCTGACTAAGGCAGGTATACTTCTTGTTTACCAGGAGGAGATCCAATAAAGATCTTCCCAGTACTCTTTGAGCACCTCACTTCCCACTTCCTGCCTCACCAAATAACAAATTCCCTTATTAACTCTGCCCATAGCAAGTCAAGTACCAGATAGAAACCAAACCACTTCTAGGTGCGTCTCCATCCTCAAGACAGCAAACTATGGACATGGGACAGTTTGCCCCAGCAATTGTTTAGGCTTTTCCAAGCCCCTGGGTGAATATGCAGTGTCTTCATTCCCTAGCAGGAAGCCTTGCCATTTTCCAGCTGCCCCCGTGTGCGATTGGGCCTCCTTATCTTGCACAAGCTGTTAGCATGTCTAGTGTGGCTATTGCTCCTCCATCTGGCTGACCTGTCAGGACCTTTAAGCATCTGTTCAGACTGACTCCCCTCACAGTTTCATGTTCGGTGAACCTTGAGCTTGCCCCCACTGCCACCTTGCTGACCCTCTTGACTTCTGCCCCAAGACATCAGGAGCTTGTCTGTAAGCTGTAAGTCACCTGACCAGAGTTAACATGCTATTCCACCTCATGTGGTATATAGAATATTCAACAAGCCCCACTGCCACTATGGGGATGTGAATAGCAACCATTATAGAGTGTTTCATGAGACTGGATGTACTTATAATAAATAAACAGCAGCCGAACCCTCTGTACTTTTAAATCTCTTGATTCATGCACTGTGGCAAATTCTTACAGCTGGAAACACGGGGGCATAAAAAGAAGGAAGCAGTTAAGAAGACAGGCGATCAGTGGGATACAGGATGTCAGGATAAGCGACAATTGTGGGCGGAGAGATGGCTCAGTGAGTCGAGGACCCTCATGGGAAAGCAAATAGCAGACCAGCACGGGTTGTCCTTAGTTCGCCACACATGAACTGTGCATACACATACCTACACAAAAATAAATAAAATGCAATTTCTTAAAAATATAGAACATATCATGAAATGTATGAGGAACCACCAAAGGAGTATGAGCATAGTAGAATCTTAATCATAATAGAATTCTCTCTAGTTAGCCTTCTAGAGAGGAGCTAGGACATAGATGAAAGGAAGAAACCAAAGGCATGAAGCTCTGCCAGGAGGCTTTAGAGGGACCCAGAGAGCAGTAAGCAGGGCCTGGGCATATTGGTGCACTCTCTCCTGTTTTGGAGCCTGTTCCCTTGCACTCACACAGACACACCCTCTCAAGCACACACATGTGCACATTCAGATTTTTAGTTGTAGACACAGATCAGAAGTCCATGCTAGAGGACTGGCTTGAGAAGGTGCACAAGTGTGTGAAAGGCCAGAGTTATGACTAGTCAGTTGAGGGCCTGCTTGCTCCTGGGCCCTGTGCTCAGGCCTGTGAGTCTTGTATTTTCCACATAATCTTTGAGTCGACTGGGGCATTTCTTGTTAGATCTTCTCCTCAGTGCTGCACATAATTGGGGTTTGGTAGTGTTAGTATTCCCAGCTTATAAATGGGTACACTAAACCCAGAGAAGGATGGTGTTTTCCACAAGATCTTATCATTGATAAAAGACAGAACCATAATCCAAATGCATATCTATTTGATGCCAAGGCAACTACCTTTTCTCTGTCATAGGAAACCTGAAATGACTTATGAATTAGGATTGTGGTAGTGGAAGAATCCTTCATGTGTTCTGTGGAAACAGGAAGACTGGCAAGGCTGATGGGAAGGAAAAGGGGATATAGCCATTATTTCTTTGACTGGATCATTTCCTAAGACTTGGAGAGACAAATATTGCATGTTTTCTTTTATATGCGGATCCTCAATTATATTCAATCATCTTTACAGAGATGATATAGATATAGCTATAGAGGGGTGGATTTCATGAAATTAAAAACTAGCTAATCTGGGAAAAGGAAGAACAGCTTGGAAGAGGAAAAGAACAGAATATGAGGATGAATATTGTCAAAGTGCATGATATATATACTTGCGTGAGAATGTGTATATGAAGTTCTCCGTGATGCACAATTAGTATATGCCAATACAAAAATAGTTCAAATCTTCAAAATAAAGTGGCAAAAATAAAATAACTCCCACTATTGGTTTACTACAAGAAATGACAGGGTTCTCAGGCTACAGCAGGGAAACCCTCAAGCTAAAGATAAAGATAAAAGAGAGGAGGACAATGGGGGTCTTCAGAAAGGAAGTGCAGAGCTGAGATGTAAGATCCCCACCAACTGAGATATTCCAATGTTGTTTTCCTCCCAGGAGAGCATCAAGTCTATGGGCATCTGGGCGTGTGTTGAGGTAAGAAGGGCTTTAAGGACTGAACTGTATCTTTCTTTCTCAACAGGCTATACAAAACCAAAATTGTGAACCTTCACCACAGCCAGTTTGTAAGTGTTCATTTTTGATGCCTTTTCTTGGGGGGAGTAAGGGCATTTCTTATAGTTTTAGGATGAAAGTAATTGGGAGTGGGTCTTTAATTGACACATCGCTAAGCCAAGGGATGCAGAGAGACTGAAAGAATAGTGAGGTTCTTCACCCATCATTAAGAAGGTAAAATTGGCCGGGCGGTGGTGCTGCTGCCAGGCAGTGGTGGCACACACCTTTAATCCCAGCACTCGGGAGGCAGAGGCAGATGGATCTCTGTGAGTTCGAGGCCATCCTGGTCTACAAAAGCTAGTTCCAGGACAGGCTCCAAAGCTACAGAGAAACCCTGTCTCGAATCCCCCCACCACCACCACCACCACCAAAAAAAAGAAGGCAAACTGTATTCTGACTACATGCATGATATGCGGCCTGAGTCTAAACTTGCAGCTTCCAGACATGCTGGGCAATGCAGCCTTCAGACAGATCATTCCAGCTGTGTACAGTAAGTCATCTCTGACCGTGGTTGTCCTTCTGGCTAGCTAAGTATGGATGAAAGTAATCAAGTCCGACTAAGGAGTGAGAACAGTTCCCAAAGCAGCAAAAGTATACAAAAGAATCATCGTTACCACTATAGATTATATAGTATAGAACATGTTTAACTTTAATACAAAAGCTAACATGAAATTGTAAGTTCCTTCTTAAAGACTAATGAGAAAAAGGCTCAGAAAGGGAAGAGGATCCGCCAAGGTCATGGAGCAACAGAATGAATGGATCCTACTTCTCCCCCCCCCCCATCCCTTCTCTATTGAGTTATGCAGACACTTCAGTGGATACAGCAAAAGAACCATAAAGAATATAAAAAGTCAACTGGCCCTCACAGAACAATGAGCATGGTTTTTATTAGGCCTGGCTAGGGGCCAGCAACCATGTAAACACAGCATTCAAGGTAGAGATTACTGTGCCCATCTCAGAGACAGAACAGTGTCCAGGCTAGGCAACTCACCCAAAGTCCTTTGCACGCAAGACTCTTATTCCCGAGTCTCCCATGTCCCCAGTGGTGCATCCTACAGACACCATAGCCATTCCAAACACAATGGAGCTGAGCTGCAAGGCATGGGGCCGATGCTCCTCTCTCACCACAGGGGCTGTCGTCACTCTCTAAGCCTTACTCAAAGCATATTTCTTGTTTCGTTACAGACATGCCTTCCAGAGCCAAGCCAAGGGCGCACCTGACAAGTAAGACTTCCTGTACTCCTTTAAACACCATGGGCCATAGACCTGAGATTTCTTTCATTATATTACCAAAACTCACTATGGTGGCTTTGAACGGGCATCAGAATTGACAATCAAGGATTTTGAGTAACTTCTTCTTCCCTGTAACAAAAGCAAGGACCCATGTCTCTCTGGTGCTCGGTGCTCTTCAGTCGGCCTTCTGCCTGTCCATCCTGCTTTTCTCTGGCATACATACACCCAGCCATCCTGAAGTGGTTTTCCTCCATTCTGTGTCTATGAGAGTAATTCTGGCTCTCATAATGGCTGAAAGATTTCTGGACTGACTTGAAGAGGCTGGAGGGCAAGCTCAGTGAGTGGATGCTGCTGCTTCTGAGCCTGGGTACCTACAGTGCTGGTGCTAGGTGCAGGCTCAGTCAGATCCCAGAAGCTCCCTGGACAGTTCCATACTCTGTGAGGTCCATCTCAAAAATGAAGGTGGAAAGCCACAGGGGACGATACTCAGTGGCAACTTCTGGTTTCCACAGGTGAACACACACACACACACAAACACAAGCACACACATAGACACACATGAAGAAAACATTCAGGAAACTCAGACTCAGACAATGATTTGCATGTTCCTAGTCAGACAGATATGCAGTGGAAGAGTTCAAAGTTAAGCTTGCTTCTTTCGGCTACGATTTTCACTGCAGCAGGCTCTCTAATCCAAGTCTGACTGCCGCTGAGCTAACACAGCTTATTGCACTCAGTGCTATGAGGGTTGCCTCTCTAGAGACACAATGGGCCTGGTTTATGCATCATCTGAGAAAACATGTCAATCACCGCATCATCCACAGTGAACTCACAAAGATGTCTATAAGGAGGCGCCAGAGCTTTCCAAGAGCCACTTAATGTAGAGACTAGATGAGTTCACACCCACTCAAGATTGTGCCAAGTTTGCAAAAGAAACCCTAGTCCAGTCAGCAATGGGAAAGATACCTTAGAAGCCCCAGAGTCTAGGTTTCTGGTCACCCACTGGATGTGCAGGTTGTTGAATTGTTCCTTAAGGCAGAAGCTATCCACAAACTACAGTGTCAGTACATAATGGTGATTGCTGTGAGTTTCCAAAGCAGTTAGAGGCAGTTAAGATGTTTTTGTTGTCTCTAATAGTAATAGTTTTGTTGTAAATTATCCTATTTGACATCAGTAGTTTGAAACAAGTTTGGTTCTATCCATTTCCTTTAACTATAGACATCAGCTAATGTGTTTAATTTAATTAGAATTAGGAGTGAAGCAGGCATAAGAACATATGAATTATGTTAAATAGCACAGGCTTACTCTTTAATCTGTCTAAATGAAGCATGGTGCTTTATCTGAACAGAAAAAAACAAGCTCAACTGTACCTAGCTTATTTTAATCTATAAAATGCCCATATTAGTTTTGTCCACTTAATGTTCAGAACAAGGCTCTAAAGAGCCCAATCCTCAACTTCCATATGAGACACTGAGGTGCAGTAGAGAAAGCAAACATGCACAGTTGATTAAAGAAGTTTGCATGGTGCAGAATTAGAGTTGGTACTGGGCCCAAGCAGCCCAGAGCCCAACTTCCGTCCCACAAGTATATTTGGCTCTGGCAGTGTGGGAGAGGAATTGCCTAAATGTTCTGAGTCTCTAGTCCCAGCATGTCCTCAGGCAATTCACTATTGATTACTGCCTGTTTTGTGACATTGGACCACAACATTGTGATGTAATGACAAGGTTGATCTCGCTCTCTCTCTCTCCCTCCCTCCCTCCCCTTTCCCACTCCCTCTCTCCATTCCTCCTCCCCTCCTCCTTTTGGAAGAGAGCTTGTCTGAAACAGAATGCCAGGAAAGATGAATGCATTTCCCAATAGCCGCGGATTTTACACCTCCTTTAGTCCTTCTCACGAGTGGTATTTGTCTTTTTTAGATTTTAGGATTTTTAGATTCTGTAGATGGCACGTGTACAAAAGGAATTTTTCTAGAGGGAGGGAGAAGGGGAGAAAGGAGAGTACAGTCATATATTCCATATTGGTGGGCAACTGTTTTCAGGATCTCCAGCAGACAGTCCAATCATTGGATGATGTAGTCTCTCATAAAAATGATGGAGCAGTAACAAACTCTGCACTTTTCCTCCCCGTGTATGCTAAATATTTCTGGCTTTTAACACCGGATACAATGTAAATACTTCTAGCTTTTAACATCAGATAAAATGCAAGTATTTCCGGCTTTTAACACCTGATACAAGGCAAATACTTCCGGCTATTAACACCCAATACAATGTAAAGAGTTTTACTATATTACCTGGGGAAAGGTGCAAAGAAAAGACACTGTGTGTTCAGTAGATGCTATTTCCCCCCAATATTTTCATTTCCTGAATTGGGGTGAATGATAAGCGCAGGACTGTGGATGGTAAGAATGTTGGTATAGTGACCGAGATATTACATTTGGGAGCAGGCTTTGACAGAAAGTTTGCCAGTTTCTCCAGCTAAGTTAAAAGGGTTTTTCCTTGTGTAGAAAAGGAGGATAATCAGGGCTAATCTGAGAATGTCTTAGCTCAAAGTCAGCTTTGTCTTCCAGACAGTGGGTGCTAGTCATGCTGAGGGTAGGCAAAGCTGAGGGACCTAGAAGAATGATTCTACATGTGCCTTTGCCAATTGGCCAGTGAGGATAACAGGGTGGACTCATCATTCATAGGCCCCAGAATGAGGACTGGGATGGTCTGGTGTCAGGATTTGTCCTGGGTAAGCAAGCTGTTAGTGGTAGATTCTTTTCAGGTGCACAGAAGAACAAAGGGATTTCTTAACTTTCACTGCATCCATGTAGAACAACAGTTTGTGAATAAGAAAACATTTGATGAGGCAGGAATGAATGACCACACCAGGACACAGACTTCAATTCCCAGGAATGCACAGCTCCGACTGTGGACGAAGTACATAAGCTCCTAGAGACCCCAAGGAAAGGGAATGCAGAAAGCAGGGACTGGAAAGCTGGCTGAGTCTGAGAAGTGCTTGCATTGCAGCATGAGGACTTCAGCTTGAATCTCCAGCAACCACTGAGAAATCTCGGCAGAGCCACTCATGCCTGTGTCCCTAGCCCTGGAGTGACAGAGATAAGTGGGTCCCTATAACTTTCCAGCCAGCCAATCTGCTCAAGTTAGTAAACTCCAGGCTCAGTGAAAACCCATGTCTCAAAACATAGGGTGAAGAACTACTGAAAAGGACACCCCATTTCTATCTCTGGCCTCCACATGCACCTGCACGCACACATGTAGACACAACACAAACACATAGGCACATGCACACACACTAAGAAAACAGGAAAAGAGGACAAGACTTTATCAAAGGCCATGGGTCCTGACCTGTGCCAATTAAACTTCTCTCCTGTATTTGCAGTTCTTAAGCAAACTCCAGGGCCACATCTGCAAAATCAGTTTCCTGCTCTGCACTGGGAACATGAACTAGGCTTGGCCTTCACCAAGAACCGGATGAACTATACCAACAAATTTCTGGTGATCCCCGAGTCCGGAGACTATTTCATTTACTCCCAGATCACATTCCGAGGGATCACATCTAGGTGTAGCAACATCAACCAAGGAAGACGACCTAACAGGCCAGACTTCATCATCGTGGTTATCACCAAGGTAACAGACAGCTACCCCGAGCCCTCCCACCTCCTCACAGGAACCAAGTCTATGTGTGAAATAAGTAGCAACTGGTTTCAGCCCCTCTACCTTGGGGCTATGTTTTCCTTGGAAGAAGGGGACAGGCTGATGGTTAATGTCAGTGATCTCTCCTTGGTGGATTACACAAAAGAAGATAAAACTTTCTTTGGCGCCTTCTTGCTATAAGGAGAAACAACCACAATCATGTAGGGCCTCCTTGACCCCTACTTCCCACTTTTCTTTGCTCATGTGGAACTATAATCAGGGGTGTGGGGGATCAAGGATGGGGGACAGAGGTTTATCTACATAATTTAGGAACCCACGATGATTCTCTCTATATGTTTTGGACTGAAATAGTAAATGGAAAACTCAGAAGAACTCGTGTTTGCTAGAGACCTGCTGGGTTTTCAAAATTAAAACAGCTATCTCCAATGGCTCAATCTACTGCTCTCCAGACATGATGTTTCTGAGATGTCCTCCTTCCTGTTCATTGATTAGTTGAGGATGCTTAATCAGTGACTCTAGTCTGGCTCCATGGTCAGAAAGGGAGAATGGAATGTTCTGCCTGCATCTATCCCCATGGCGCATGAGAGCATTGCGCAGCACAGATTTACTGTAAGGACTGGCACAAGAGCAGCCAAAATGATCTGCTCACCTCCCCCACTAAACCCAAACCTTGTATCAAGGGCCTTCAAAGCTGCCCGTGGCTAGTCTGGGCTGCTTGGAAGTTTATCAAAGACAGGGATCTTCTGGCATCCCGGGATGCCTGAAGCTCTGGGAAGTTCCCCATCAGGTATTCATTTTGCCCCTGTTTGCGGAAAACTGGAACTCAAATTTTCTCTATTGAGTTTGTTAAATATATATATATATAATATGTATATTATATATAACATATATAATATGTATATTATATAACATATAATATATTTGTGTGCATGTGCATATGTGAGCATGTGCATGTGTGCGTGTGTGTGTGTTACTGTCCAGAAGGGCATGACCAACCATTCCTAACTGGACTCAAATCAGCACTTCTGTTTCCAAGGTACTGGTCCCACAGCAAACATGAGGCCACTGCTGTGTAAAGCAAGATGGGGAAAGAATGTTTTCTAAAAACATGTGGTGGCGTCAAGGGTGGTGGTACACATCTTTAATCCCAGCATGGGGGAGGCTGAGCCAGGAGGATTGTCATAAGTTTGAGGAAAACCAGGCCTAAGTAGTAATTTTCTGGCAAGTCTGGGCTATATAACAGGATCTCCTCTTAAATTAAAATTTAAAAAAAAAAAACATAGAAAATAGACTGGTCCTCAAAGATAAAGTAATATATTCAAGGATTTGGGAAAGAGGGCATTTGTTTTGAAAAATAGCTAATTTAGTGAAAAATATTTTGCTGGTTAAATGCTTCTCAAAAAGCAACAGAATTCAAATAGATTCCATAAACATTTATCTGGGACTTACTCGCCCTGGGGACAGAGAATCAATTATTTTAGTCTCGGGCCCACTCATCCTCCATCATCTGTGGAGCTTCCCGTCACTCTGCCTATGGTAGCTGAGTAATCAGCTGACCTGAGACACATGGGTATTTTCTTATTATGACTGTGGGCACCATTTGACAATCAATAACAGAATGATTTGCATTTCTTCTTGAGTGTTGTTATAACAGATAAGCAAGGGCAGTTTCCCATAAATAAACAAGAGGGGATGTAAGACTACAACTCCCTACGGTGAGATCCAGCATTGAAACAGCAAATAGAAAGAGATTATTGCTATTTACTGACCTCAAAATTTGACACAAAGACCTTTGAAAATACTAGAACTGTATGAATGGCCTAGATGTGCTCTGGAAAGTCTATGTCCCCAGCAAAAGCAAAAGTCATAGTCATCTTTCATAGGTCATTGGAATTTTGACCTTAGCTGGTTTTGGGTCTGTTTGACTAAACGCAGTTGCAAGGCTGTAACTTCTGAGTTGATTTGTTGTCTAACTAAGGGATAGTGGGAAAAAGGAAAGTGATCTTCTACCATCTCTTGGAACAGATTAGGTTTCATGCACGCCAGAGCCCTTGGATCTATTTCCATGCAAGCTCCTTCACCCCAAAGGAAATTCCAATTCCATGCTTGGCAGTCACTCCTTGGCTTATAGAAGTCCACGAGTTCACTGTGCACAAGGCATGGCCATTGCCAGCAGTCTCAAGTCCTTACTCAATCAGGTTCCCATGATTGTGACATTAAGGATTAATTTCTAGAGCAGGTTTGTTTATATCCTGTCCCTTGCAAAATACATGCAGATATGCCTGGCCTCAAAATCCCCTGGTTGTTAGGGCTTAGAGTCCTGGGACTATTGCGCTATTTTCAGTATTTTATTAAAGCTTGCATCATTGCTCTGAATGCTGGCAGTATTCTAGCAAATTGGCTGCTAGCCTTTGGAGGATTCGCTGAGCCCTTAGTAAAGGTGACGGTGCTAGCTTAGAGTGGTCACACTTGTGCCTTGCTAACACTTCCCGAGCTCTGTGACACAGTTGCCTCTTCCATCTATCTGGCCATCTGAGGACACTCACAAGCCCATTTTGCTGTTACTTTTTCAGAGTGACGCAGTCTGTTCATGGGAAAGGCAGAGCTGGAAGTCTGTCTTCCGAGAAGTCTGTCTTCCCACTCTACTCTTGGCAAATGATACTGGTTGATGCAACTAGGGGAGAATTGAAGAAAGGCAGGAGAAATATCTTTGACTACCTATGGGGCAATATAGAAGAGTAAGGAGATTTACACATGGTACCTATACCTAAACCAATTTTCTGCCCCCGAATAGATGTTTTTTACCTGGTAGTGATAGCTTATTCTCTGGAGATAGTCAAGCAAAAAGAAAGTTTTGTAGAAGCTATTGCATCACGGAGGTCAGGAGAGGGAGTAAGTCAAAGGATTCCTCTTCCAGATCTATGACCATGTGGTCACCTTTCTATCCGATCATAACAAACCTGACAGCTCTGCCAAGAGTTCTGGGGTTCCCACTGGGCTAGAAAAGTAATCTCCCCCACACTATCAACTCTGGGGTCTTAACCAGTAGATAAGATGTCATGGGATTTTAGAGCTGACATGAACTGCAGAGTTTTCTATCCAAATTCACATCACTTCAAGTGAAGAAACACAGGCCGAGGGAGAGATGCTATACGAGGCTTGGTGCAGGAGAGCCTGATAGAGTGTGAAGACTGAGCTGGGCTTCCTGTCCCCAACACCCAGCTCAGCAGCCTTTCCATTTGATCTGGGGATTGCTGGCTGGTTTGGGTTTTTATTTTATTTTATTTTTACTTTTTTGAGCACCTGTCACACTTAGACATGTTCACAACAAGAGGGTCAGTGACAGGAAGTCCTGCTCTGCTGTGTGCACGCAGGGGGAAGGAGACCCACAGTAGTAAACAGAATAGTGAACTTAGATGATTTTAGTCTTAAAGTGATTAAGACACACCATTTTCCCCTCTTTTGTCTCAGAGGGCATACAGGTGTTCGCCTGATTTTAGTGATAAGCCCTATGTGCTTTCATTGGTTGTATGTTTTATGTTAAAACGTCACATCGCCATGGTACAATGCATATTGTATGTTGTTGGGTCTGTAATTAACTAGTATGCATCACATGTATGAATTCTAATCTCTGTATATGAAAATTTATGTATGTTAACATATATAATAGTTGTAATTTAATAAATTGGCAATGAGGCTGCAGGAATTTGATTGTGTCAATTCTTTTTGATATAACACAATTCTTTTTGGATTCTTTGTGAATTTCACATCATGTACCCCAATCTCACTCACCTCCCAGTCCCTGTATATCTGTTCCCACCCCCCACCTCAGCAGCATCCTCGCCAAAAGAACCCCCCAAAAATAATTAAAACAAACAGAAAACTCACCTTACCCCTCTGTCTTTCCAACACCTCTTCATTCCTCCCAGGGACAATGGGTGCTGCAGTGTGTCACAGAATATAGCTTTGCCCAGGCAGCTCTACGGCAAAATGGTCATTGCGATGGGTGTGTTGTCTGGTTCAAGGCCTCTGGCACACAGCCATCACTGGACCCTCTCCCAAACTCCTCTTGATTATCCCACTGCTGCTTCCCCAAGTCACAGAGGTCCTTCTGCCATCATCCCAGGACAAGTCTGTTCGTATATCCCAGCAGGTCATAGATGGGGTAGACGTCAGGGTGTATCAAACCAAGTCCCTGGATGTGGAGCTGGATAGTAGCTGAGCTGGTCTGTCTGGACCACTACGTCCACCACCCTGTCAGGTGAGGGGCAGAGCCAGCTCTCCCACACCCATGGTGAGGGTTGGGTCATCTCTCCCAAATGTGTAGGGAGGGGAGAGGGGTCTCCCAATGAGGGATGGGGTCAGCTATCTCAGGGCCAGTGAGTAGCAAGGCCAGCTCAGCACAACCTTTGGATTTCAACATGATTGGGTCCTATGACCCCTGCAGTAGCATGGGCCATACGTGCAGGAAGAACACAGAACCAGACATGGCCCTTGGCAGCTCAGGCCCAGACTGGCATGGCTTTGGTGGCAGCATGGCCCTCAGACATCAACATGGCCACAGGTTGCAGCCTAGACCCCAGGCATCCATGTGACCTTTGGTGGCACCAGGTGCCATAGATATCAACACAGACCCTGGCTGCGGTAGGACCAAGACCCAGACATGATCCTCACAGCAGCCCCTGCCAGGATGTCACCATGACCCCAGGAGGCAGCACAGGGCACTCAGACTAGCATGCCCCCTGCAACAGCATGGCCCAAGGACAATTAACATAGTCCCAGGTGGTGGCCCAGACCCCTGGCATTGACCTAATCTTCAATGGTATCAGGAATCATGGACAGATTATATCAACTATTTTATCAATCAGCTCATTTATTTTTATTTCTGGATAAATATCCAAGGGCAAGAACCTCTTGGGACTTTAAAAAAAGTACATCTAGGTGACAAGGGAGATGGCTCAGCCACTAAAATGCTTGCAACACAAACAAGAGAATCTGAGTTTGTATCCCCCAAAGGGACATGAAGGTCAGATGGGTGTGACAGCCATCTGGAGCTCCAGCTTTGGAAGGTGAGACAGGGATCCTTAAAGCAGGCTTCATGATGAGACTAGCTGCATCACTGATCCAAGATGTGTTTTTAACCGAGAGATCCCATTGCAGTGAATAAGATGGGAAGGAACTGGGGAAGATCCAACACCAACATGAACCCCCACTTACACATGCACATATGTCCCACAGACACACTGACGTGTGCCCTCACACATGAGAACACACACATATGCATGCGTACCACACACACATAGATATGAAAAAATACATCTGGCTGTTCATACCCTCAGCATGATTAAAATGGACTGTAAAACACAAACAGATTGAGCCATGCTGGCAAGGAAGCAGGAGAGCAGGGCTAGTCCACTGGCTTCCATTAATGGAGCCAGGCACTGCAGCTCAGTGTGGCAAACATCCCTGAAACAGTAAGAATAGAGTGGGAACACTGATGGACCTGGGAGCCCGTGCCTGAAGTTAGGCCTGTGTCTCCCATGCAAACAGCAACCATGGACTGGAGAGGGCTTTTGCTGTGCAAGTGTAGGTCCTGAGTTCAGATCCCTAATACCTAGATGAAAGGTATTGGGTTAGCCAGGGTGAGCCAGGGTTAGCCAGTCACAGATACCTGGAATCCCAGTGCATGAGAAGAGGGGAGAGAGAAGGATCATAGGTCACTAGCCCGTGGAGAAAATAGTGACCTCCATCTTCAGTAAGAGGCCCTCTATCGGGAGAAGCAATAAAGAGTGCTAGAGATGGATAGCCAATGTCCTCCTCGGGCCTACACGTACACTCACTTGCACACATCTCTACACAGAGGCGCACACAAACAGCAGTCAGAATAACTCAGGCTAAGCGTGGTGGTCCATGCATGTAAACCCATAGCTCAGGAGCCTAAAAAAGAGGAACTTGAGTTCAAGACCAGCCTGGACTTACAAAGTGAAATAAATAAATAAATAAATAAATAAGCAAATAAATAATCCATATCTGCTAACTTATCAGAGCAGTAGACCAGCTCACTTCTGGTGCTCAGTCAGTATTAGTGTGAACTACCTTAAACTGCCAATTTTTTTTGCAAGGTCTATATAGTCCTGGCTGTCTATATGTAGACCAGGCTGACCTCAAACTCAGAGAGATACACCAGTCTATTTCCCAGGTGTCCAACATTAAATTGACATTTTTATTTTACATACCAATCACAGTTCCCCCTCCCCTTCTTCTACTCCTTCGAACTCCCCCACAGCCCTCATCCACGCCTCAGAAAGGGTAAGGCTTCCCATGAGGAGTCAACAAAGTCTGGCATATCAAGTTGAGGCAGGACCAAGCCCCTACCCCAGTATGGAGGCTGAGCAAGGTATCCCTCCATAGGGAATGGGCTCCAAAAAGCCATTTCATACACTAGGGATAAATTCTGGTCCCATTGCCACTGGTCCCACAGACTGTCCAAGCCACAGAACTGTCATGCACATTCAGAGAGTCGGCCCTATGTAGGTTTCTCAGCTGTCAGTCCAAAGACAGTGAGCTCCCACTACTTGGGTCAGCTGTTTCTGTGGGTCTCCAGCTCATGATCTTGACCCCCTTGCTCATATAATCCCTCATTCCTCTCCTCTCTTTAACTGGACTCTGTGAGCTTGACCCAGTGCTTAGCTGTGGATCTCTGCATCTGCTTCCATCAGCTACTGGATGAAGGTCCTATGATGACACTTAGGGTAGTCATCAATCCGATTACAGGGAAGGTCAGTTCAGGCACCCTCTCCACTATTGCTAGGAGTCTTAGCTGGGGTCATCCTTGTGGATTCCTGGGGGTTTTTCTAGTACCAGGTTTCTCCCTAACCCCATATGGTTCCCTCTATCAAGATATCTCTTTTCTTGCTCTCCCTCTCTGCCCCCCCATTCAACCCTCCCATTCCCTCATGTTCTCCTCCCCCTCCCCTTCACCCTTCGACTCCCTAAATAGACATTTTAAGGGTTAGATCATCACATATTAGGAAATCTATCTCTCCCTCTACAGGTGTAATCAGACCGAAAGGGCAGGGGAATGAGACTCTGTTGGAAGCATCTCCTCCAAATCTGTGGCCAGCCTGGGGAAGCCTCGCTGTCCTTCCCCTCCTCATTCACCTGTGCCCATCCCTAGGAATGATGGAGACCAGTTTGTTCTTGATTCTTGTAACATGGAACGAATCACTGGCCTTAAATGCACGAACAGTCAATGCCAGTAAAAATTCATTTCAATTTCCAGAGGAAAAATAGTGATGGAAGTCTAACCACGTTTTCCAACAAATTCTCCAAATGGCTCTCCATCTCCAGGAACTCTAGAGCAAAGAGGCAAAGCCATTTACCTTCTCTCGAGGGTTGGTGTAGCTACCCACAGGGGACACCCAGTGACAGATGTGATTCGCCACCTCAAAAGACTGATGTTGCCATTCTGGCTGTTAGCTAGTACAATCACAGTCAGTAATGAGCTGGCGTCTACCCACCTTACACAATACACCATTACAATAATAATCAGCACTAACGTTCCAGTACAGAATCACACAAAGTGCAGCAGGTGAAGGACGTAAGATCCATGTTCGAGGTCCTGGTATGCCAGTTTGCCTATTGCGAGGCCTTGGGCCAATGCTGTTAAGTTTCCCTTTCCTTCTTTGATAAAGAGCAAGCACCAAATTTAGCCCTAAATGGGATGTCTGTATCAAACCCTTCCTTTAAAGGTTTGGTGATCTGTGCTGAAAACGAAACTGAAGGACTGTGAGAGTGAGTCAGAGGTGGCAGTGACTCCAAGGAAACATCATCTCCGAACATAGCAGGCTGGCGCACATATGAACTCAGGGACTATAACACAATGCAGAAAGCCCACACAGGTCCAAGCTAGACACAGTCCCAGCGAGAAGAAGGAGAAGGGGAAATGGACACAAATCCTACCAAGCTATTTGCACTGATACCTGGTGAGAGGGGCAAAATCAGTTTTCTCCAATGGAGAGATATATAAGCCACACTCCAGGGCAGGCCCCGAGCTCAGGGGTCATTAACCAAACAAAACAAACTCCATGTTTTGTGTGCACTTTTTGTTGTTGCTGTTACAATTTGGTGGGCTTAGTCTTTTTAGTTTTTGCTTGCTTTGTTTTACTGTTTTTTTGTTTGTTTGGTTTTTGGTTTTTCAGGGGGAAGTGTTGAAAAAAAGAGAAAGAATACGAAGTTGGGTGGGTAGAGAGGTGGGAAGGACCACCCGAGATTTGGGGAAGGAGTTAAATATAATCAAACTATATTGTTTTAAAAATAATAAAAATGTAATTAAACAAATGAACAGGGTTGGATATTCTGTGCCCTGGCACTTGAGTTTCAAATGTGCTCCTTCGATCAGCTATGTCTAGGGAGTGGAGAACACTTCTCCAAGAGAAAGCAGAACTGCGGCCCTGCGCTTGGGGACTTTTCTCCTCTTCAGTGCAGGAAACAGAAAGGTAACTGGAACTGAGATGTGTCTCCCTTTGACTTCCAGTCGAGCTTGGTGGCCCCTCTCCATCCCACATCATTGGAGATGCCATCCTGGCAGGCTACTATTGAACCTGAAGCCCAGCATTGACAGCTGGCGTTTCCCCTGTCCTGAGCTTCAATCCTTCCCTAAGTCACCTTATTTCATAAGGCTATGAAGTTAGTCTT